TGTCTTCTTTAATCAATCTCAAGTTACATTATCACCACATGTTGGAATAAGAATGAGCTTCCTTGTGTTTACAAGACCATTCAGAAGACCATTGAGCTTCCTTGTGTTTACAAGATTTTAACTTGCATTTCAACGAAGATTATCTTGAATATAGAAGTTCAACAAAGATTTACAAAGCATGGCAGCAGACCTAATGTTAGTTGGATTTTGAAGGAAAATATGGAATCCTACAAAGCTTGAAAATTTCACATGCTTATTTCGTCATCTCACACTTTCATGTCATTCTAGTTCGAATAAAATGAGAATTCTTCTTCATTGTCCAAAGAGTGTTATTTGTCCCATATAATTCCTTCCCCATATTCAAAATTCTACCTTTCTTTTGTTTTCCTAAATTTTCTTAGTATCCAAACAAACAGCCTACTCCAAAAACCTTCCCTAAACCAGACACATGTTTATCAGCCGTGACTGAAAAATTAAGTACCTGTTCCTTTCACTTGAATGTTCTTTATTCATCCTTAAACCTCTCAAAAATACTCTAAACTTACAACAAAAACCTCAATCAAACAACAAGAAGCTAGATGATGAAAATATCATCAACTATCAACTGATAAAGAAACAGAATCAAAACAGTCACATTTTTACTTCAAAGGACACACATTCAAAGCCAAAGTCATTTATATTTACAGCACTTCATCTAACACCTCTGCTGACAATCGCAGCTGCCAGAGGCCCGATGCCAGCTTCCTCGCAGACACTCTGCTGGTGATGAACTTCCAGTGCAAACAGGGACGGAGCCAGAAAAATCAGTTAAGGGGAGACAAAAATTAATATTAAAGATTTGAGTTTTCAAGAGTATTTTCTATTATACTAATTTTTTTTAAATATTTATTTTTTCTTATAAAAAGACTCACTTGTGATCTTTTTATTGATATATTCTTAATAAAAATTAGAAATAAATATATATTATAATAAAATATAAAATATTATAGTAATAAATCATATAACGATTAATTGAAGAATGAATTGAAAAAATATGTTGTTAACAAAATCTCTAAAAAATTAGAAAGAAAAACACCAAAAAATTACATTATTTTAATAAGTTTATTTTGAAAAAAAACAAAAATAACATATTTTTATAATACAATTGAGAGTGCTTTGATTTTAGTGAAATAATGTAATTTTGGGGTTTTTCATCCTAATTTTTGAAGGTCATATTAATAAATACTAATATTTATAAAAAAAAGGTACTAAAATATTAAAAAAATATTAGAATATTTTTTAAAAAAAGTAAACTCTAATTTTGATTGATTTAACATAAAAAATAATTATAAATTCAATGATGAAAGGTAAAAATGTATCTTAATGCCACAAA